TGGCGACCGTGGGACAACTTTTTACTGAAGTTACACATCTGTTCTTACTTAATCTATGACGTGGCGTTGTGCCGATAAATTGGCGTTGTGCCGATAAAACATTGAAATTTGAGAGTCCAAAGTGCAGAAAAATACGGACACGCGTTGACGCCAGTCATATTATTTTATTTATTTAAACAACAAACATTGTTAATTACTTCTACACACCACGGCAATCCCAACACTAGTTGTGTCCATCTGATACTTAGGGTTGATACCCTCATGCATGGAACATGTATGTGCATGGAACCTCCGTGGCATCCACTAATTTTTGCAACGGCTTTGTAAAAATACTTGAAAAGCGACGAAACTATATAGGATGTGGAATTAATGAAAGGAACTAGTTTCAATTTTTATATACTAAGGTTTAATCTGGGTTGCACTAGTTAACGGCTAATTTAAGAAAGCTTGAAAAATTCACTACCTGGTGGATTGCACCATCCGGCTCTCGTACAACTGGCCCCAGGTTTCTTGAGAGTTAGCCTGCCTCGTACCCAGGCGCTTTAAATAATTATACATGAAGTTTTCAGGCATGCGACGCGCGAAGGGGCTGTTGCACTCTTCCCATCAGCCCCTTCGCCCATCTCTCCCCACTACAATACTTCATGTAAACTCGTCATATGCGCATCACTGTTTTTTTACAAAGAGACGCCTGGGTACGAGGCAGACGCATTCAGTATAAAGTTTTATTTAATCGACCGGGATAAGCAAGACAAACTTTTGTTATTTCTCATTCAATTTTTAACCAAATTCAACCAAATTTTAATCAGTTCTTCCTTAGCCGATGGGAAATGCACTCAAAAAAATTTCGTACGGATATGTTTGGTATTTCTTGAGTTATCGTGCTCACAGGCAACCACACACACACACACACACACACACACACACACACACAAACACACACACACACACACACACACACATACACATACACATACACATACACACATACAAATCCAGATGATTACATAACCTCCTGGCGGAGGTAGCCAGATGATTACATAACCTCCTGGCGGAGGTAATTATTAACACCTGATCGATATCACGACCTCTGTTAACATTAATATTAGTCAACCAATGTCAAAAGTAAGAATTTTAGTTAGAAAGTCAATAAAGATCAACTTGTTACTATTAACAACATATTAATTAACCAAATATAATTATCAGTCTCCCAAAAGTAGTCATTTAGTAATAAAGTCAATAATAGCCTGCGAACAGGCTCACTGGGAGAAAGGTGAGCCTGCACCAGCCTCTGAGCCTGCACGGAACCATACGTTTTGTTCAATCATCCCCTTTTTGCATCTGCTAACGCGAACCAATCAGCGTCGACTGCGATAAATAAACTGTCAAATTGACGCCGGGCGTATGTACAACGAATAAATGTATATATGGCTTATTGCACATTTTATCCGTACACCCCCTGTTGAGGACACACAGCATAAATTCTCCTACCCCCCGGATTTCCAAGTAATTTTTTGTCAGAAGCCCTGGAAAAATGTGGTTTGTAAAAGGGGGTGCCTGGAATTCCAATTGTGTTTAATCAGTGACTTTTGGAAATTCATTTTTTTTCCGCATGACTCTGGAATTCCACTGTGAATAAGTTGATCTCCCCTGGATTTCCTTGCCACTTTTTGTCTCCATCCCTGGAAAAATGTGGTTTGTAGAAGGGAGTACCTGGAATTCCAAGCACTTTTTTTTTATGATGACAATCAATGACCCTTGGAAATGCATTTTTTTCCGCATGACTCCAGAATTCCACTGTGAATAAGTTGATCTCCCCTGGAATTTCCAATTCCGGTATCATTAATAATTTATTTTATTCTATTTATTTTATTCCCCGGAATTTCCATGTAAATCTTATTATTTTGACCCCCACCCACTGGAATTCCAGGTTGGTTTGACCCCCACCCACTGGAATTCCAGGGTTAAATATAAAAGGCATCCCCTGGATTTCCAAGGTCCTCAACAGGGGGTGTACGGATAAAAAATGCAATATGCCATGATATAAACAATAATATTCATTTCTTATTCTATGATACGAAGCATTACTGTAGTAGGAAGCCGCACAATATATTAAATATAGAATTCGCCAGATAATAGATTTGTAATAATACTTTTACTACTTGTGACTGAAAGAATAAAGTTCTGAAAATTTGAAGCTATTAAAATACGGAAGCCGTATATGTAATGTACACTATAGTGGGTCGATACTATATGACAATGAAAGAGAGACTTGGCGCAAGTCTATATCGGCGATATCGTATGTCAAATGATAATTGTGAATGCAAATCACAGTTAATTTGTTAACTGTGATGCAAATATACAATATTGTTTTTATTAATTAAACAAAACTGGCATTGTACAGGAATTAGTTACAGTAAATAGTACAACGTTTAATATTCGTACGACATTCGAACGATATATATGCCAGCGGCAGCGAAGATCAACAATATAATTATTCGTACATATTTGGGTATCTTATGTATGCCTTCGCTTGCTCACTAATGAGAATAGTCCGTAAAGCTCCGCCTAGACCTAGGCCTTCTATTTTTATATATAATTTTTTAATATTCAGCGCTTTTTCACATGAAAAGACTGGGACTAGGTGATTTGGGGGCGGGGCGGAGGAAGGACACAAGCCTGACGCAAGCGAAAAAATAGAAGGCCTAGTGGATTTCCCAACAACAAGGC